ACATCTGCCAGTCTTCTCCGTTTTTCTTTTCTCCATGCATCTAGGATATAACTTACAAGGGATCTTATGCTTAGAAACATATTAGTTGGTTAAATTTAGACACTATTATATTCCCTAAAACATGGAATGCCTCATTGAATATATTTATCAGATGATTTAAATAAGGGAAACACATTAACATCTTTTTTATTTTGTGTTTTTGATTGACAGAGTAGGAGAAGGAAACATTTGACTATGTATCAAAAGATATCTTCGGTTTTGTACAGTGTGCTGGAGATATTTCTTAAATATAAATTTGTATTAATATCTGGGTTATTCCGAAGATCATGTGCAACATTTGATATAAGTTATAATATGTACCAACATCCCTTTAATTTTTTTTTTCTTCTCATGGATTTTCTTCTTATATAAACATGGTATCTCCACCATTAGAATGTAATTTCCTTAAATTGGGCAAGGACTATTTCATTTTTGTCTTTATATCTCCAGTGCCTGCTCTGGAACACAGTGCCCTGGAACACAGTAAACATTTAATAAATGTTTGCTAATTGATTAATGTGGCATTCTTATCACTGAATGCAATACTGTATTTCCTTATTTTTAAAAGCACCTTTAAAAGCATTAAGTAATTCACTATAAAAAAAGGTACCAATTTGGAAAAGTGTGCTAAAAAAATTACATATAGGTAACAACTAAAGTCAGAGTGAGGCACTTTGTATCTAAGTCCCTATTGATTATAAATTATATTTAGTGTGCATAAAAATGCCCCAAATATTTCTAGCACCAACTCTTGCCAATTCAGAGATTATTATTGCTATGATTTAAATGAAAATTTGTTACAAGAAATAATTCTCTCTGAAATGTTTTCAGACCAAATAGAATAAAAAACCTTAAGTAAGAAAGTATAGAGTATGGGGAAGGAGATATAGAATTCAATAATTCAATCGAAGTCAACAAACATTTATCCTGCACCTACTTAAATAAAAGATTGGGGTGGCTTTACTTTGTTGACTGGAAATTCAAAGACAGATATGACATGGATCTTGACAAGGTTCATAAAGGAGTTTAAAATCAAAGATAGGGAAAGATAAATACACATCACTGGGATATAGTGAAGAAAGGGACAGGTAAAAGGGAAAAGCCCAGGTAAAGAAAAATTAGAGATGGAAAAGATCACTTCCAGCTGAGGCAGGAATAGAGGTAAAGGAAGCGTGGAGAGAAAAAGGAGGAAGAGATAGCGGGAGAGTTGGGCCTTCCAGAAAAAGTGGGACATTTAATAAATGGATTGGGTGGTTGGGGGAAGGAACGTTTTCTAGTTATGAAAGCATTAGCAAAGATTCTGAGAGAGAAGACAATGGCACGAGAAAGGTGGATGGACAATAATCCCATTTGGCTGGAGGATATGAAGAATAATAGGCAATGAGGCTAAAGAGTTAGACCCTTCAAATTCTGGAGAGTCTTAAATACCAGAATCAGCAGTTTACACTTTTTTTCAGTAGGCAACCGGAACCAATGGTAAGTCTTGGCATAGAGGAGTTATGTGATCAGTTGTACATTGAGAAAGTTTTTTAGTCAGTGCGGCGAAAGATGGACTGGAGAGTAAAGAGATTACTCATAGAATAGCTAGTTAGGAGGTCATTACAAAAGTCAAGGGCTGGAACTTAGGTGACTGCAGTGGGAGTGGAAAAGAAGAATAAAATGTAAGAGAGACACATGAGAAAATACTTTATAAATTACTCAAAAGCTATTGCTTGCAAGCCTTTCATGGCATGTCTTTTTCTGCATTATTGTGTAACTTCATGCTGAAAGCAGTTCCTTATATGGAAGCAGTTTCTGAAAGGCAGGCTATTGATATGTTGTTTGGGGCTGAAACACATCAAGAGAGTCACTTTCACAACTCAATGCCAGAAGCTTCAGAAACCCTTAATTGAATGAACATCCAAGACTGTGGACATGAGCAAGTGTCCCTTTTAGTGTGAAGCTCTCTCTGTGATCATCATCTATGAATTGCCATACAGTCTCAGAACTGACAGAGATCTCTGGGGCTTTCTGATTGACCCTTCACCTCTATGGAAAATTCCCTCTCCAACATTCCTGACAAGGGTCTGCTTTGAAAACCTTCTGTCAAAAAGAACCCACCACTTCTAAGGCAGCCCACTTTATTTTAGGACAGCTCTAATAGATAGGAAGTTTTTCTTTTTCTAGACTCTAAATTTGGCTCCTTACAATGTTTCCCTCAATGTTTCTAGTTCTGAGGTGTTTTGGGCCAAGTACAATAGATCTAATCCCTCTTCCACCTGACAGTATTTCAAAAACTTAAAGACAGTTACTGTGTCCCTTTTAATTCTTCTCTTTTTCAGTGTAAATATTTTCAACTCTTTTAGCTGCTCCTCATGTGGTATGTTTCTGAGTCCACTCACTATCCTGGTTGCCCTACTTTGCATGATCTTTTGCTAATCAATGGCCTTCTTAAAATGTGGCAACCAGACCCATACACAGCACTCCAGATGTGGCCTGATCTTGGCATCAGAACTATAACTTCCTTCATTCTGGACACCATTGCTTTTGCTGATGCAACCTAGAAATGCATTAGCTTTTCTGGCTGCCAAGTTTTCAATCCTGACTCACATTGAACTTGCAGCCTGTTAAAATCACCGTTTCTTTTTAACATGTATTTTTATCTAGTCATACTTTCTCCATCTTAAATTTTTGCCTTCATTTTTTGAATCTAAGTACACAATTATGTTTATCTGTATTAATGTCATCTCATTAGATTCAGTCCATCATTCTAATCTGTCAATATTTTTTTGTAGTCCAATTCTGTAATCTGATAAATTACATCTACTGCTCTATTCGGCATCGTCTATAAGTCTGAAAAACCCATGCCATTTATACCTTGATCCAAGTCACTGATTAAAATGTTGAAAAGAAAGGGATTAATCACATTTGAATGTCAGATGCTTACAAGTAGAGATTGTTTGGTTGTATGTAATTGTATCACAGTTCTTGGCACACAGGTAGGCACTTAATAAAGACTTGTTGATTAGAAGGACACAGCATTGTGTCCCTCCACTGAAACCTCACAAATCCCTATTGATAAAATTCTTTGGGTCTAGTTGTTCAATCAATCCCAGATTTATATGACTGTACTATCATCTAGCCAACATCATTCCTTATTTTCAGGGCATTTTGCTCTTCTCTCCTAAGTCTACTATTTCTTACCCAGTTTTCAGATTGTTTTTATTTCATAACAATCACATCTATTGAAACCAAGGTTTGAATCTTAAATGAGTAATTTGAGTTTACCAACTGATTGTTGCTTTGCAATTTTTGAGCCAAGTTAATACATCATCAACAACTGTTCCCAGAACACCTACAAAGCAGAGATGGCTACAAAGGATAATAATTTTATGAAAAAAGTAAACACATGGCTCTGTTAAGAATCTAAAAAACAGTATCAAGAGTTGGCTTAATTAGTTCCAGTAGCAGTACTCTCAGGCCAAACATTTTAGTTTTTTTCATACACAGACAACAAAACGACATAAAAGTCTAGCTAATTCTCTCTCCTTCCTCTTCCCCATTAAAATAATCCTCTAGGGAGCAATGGAGGTATTTGGCTTCTGCTCTGGAATTTATCAAACTTTAAGAGTTCATTTAAAAGCCATTACAAACTTTATATAAAAGATGCCTATATAACCACTCCTTGTAGGATTTTCCATATTAGATCATGGATCATGGAATAGATGGTACCCCAGTGATTAGTTCCATATAGTAGAAAAGTGTTTTGCAATACCACAATTTGAAGTTTTGTATACTTATATAATTTCATAAATTCACAGCAGCACTTGATGTAGTGACTGACACATAGTGGGAAGACATGCTCTATCTAGTTGGGTCTTGGGACAAGAAAAAGGATCAATTCCAGCTTTTTCCTAAGGCCATTACTTGGCATGCATTAATGTTTACCTTCTGAGCAGGGAAGGCTGTGATTTAAAAAAACAAAATAATACAAAACAAAACATAATGCTAAGATGTTAGCATTTCAGGCACCTACTGTAACAATATATCTGAGCTGCCATTGTCTATAATAAACCTTGAAGTTTGAGGAAGAGAACAGGGTGAAGGGACAGCTGTGGAAGAACAACTTTTCCCCTTTACACACACACACACACACACACACACACACACACACACACACACACA